TAATGCAAACATATTTGTATAATAATAATCATATTTATTCCAAAAAATTTTTTTCTAGAACGTCATGGCATAGATTCAGCAAAACGCTGCTCTTCAATAATCTATGGCGACGGGATCACGATTTGAAACTCAGGAAGTCGTTAAATCGGCAAAGTTAGCCTACAGCTAGACCGCACTGCTTCCAACAATGGAACAGTCGAATGGAGCGGTGTGTGCATATAGAAGGAAGGGTGCAACTTTCATGTTCCGTAACATAGCGTCGGTCTTTTTTTTTTATTTTGTGATTGAGAAATCACACACCCCCACTTGGCTCTAAAGCAGGAGTAGTGTGGAGTTTCCACCCACTAAAACCCTTTCCCTGTTATCCATATTCCTATCCCCAACCCGAAACCGCGCCAGAATTACTTCTGGTTGGGTGGTGTTGGGTGTCCCGATGTTCGCATTATAGTTTTCACTTACCATTTTTTTCTTTTCTTTTACTTTCGCATTGATCTTTCATTTGTAGAATTATCTTATATGTCGGTCTTATTTCTTCCCAATTTATTTTCGATTTCATCATTTAACCATGGTACAATAAGACACATTTAACCATTTCCCCATTGTTGTCGAGCAGATCATTTAGCCTTGACTTTTTGTTAAAAAATTGCATAAATTATTAAATTTGTCAGTCGACATATGGCGTTTTTTGAATATTGGTGAACCGGTTTTCAGGGCACCAAATTTAGTAAGTAGTTATTGTAGTACAAGTTGTATTCTAATCTTATTCTGACAATTTGTAGAGAATAAATCTTCCCTTACTTTGTTATGGCGACTATTAGTCTGGGGGATTAAATTCTGAACCTGAACCAACCAGAAAGCAATACGACGACTGGTTGCAACTACGACCAACAACCATTTCTTGATTTTATTGAAGAGAATTCACCGTTCTCAATCCCATTCGGGACACCTGAACAGGAATGTCCTCTTTGCAATGGCAACACTAAAATCAGTGTCTTCGTTCCTATCCTATCCTGTGCAGGAATGACGAAAAGCAACCGTGTCCGCACAGTCTGCGACAGGTAGAAGTATATTCCCTTGTCTTTCCTTTCTACCCATTCCTTGATCTCGGGAATCAAACTCCATATCCATCTAGCTCCATCTCTGTTGCCGGATTTTGATTGTTCTTGTTCTCTCTTCTTTCGGATCCTTTCCTTCGTAGGGGCGTCGTTCCTCCTCAACTACGAGATGCTACCGGCCACCACATGGAACGGATCGTTCACCTAAATATATCCGCTCACGATCCAAAGTCATGGATAACAATGCTCTCTATTGTACTTATGGTTAGTCTTCACGTACCACTTTTTGGGACTTTTTCAGCTTCTACATATTTAACAATATCGGCTGGTTTGAAATTGAAATTTCCATTTGCATTTACATCTCGCTGAGAAACCCGCCTATGTTTTTTCCATATGTGCACCTTTTTTAAAGCGCTTTCTGTGTTTTCTTTCACAGATTGGGTACTGTAATGGGAGCCAGGGCAGATAGGTTTCGGATGACGACCCAGATGGCTTTCTTCTCTCGATCTGTGAAAACTTACATTTGGATAGCCGACCATTAAAAACATTTCCATCGTTTTTCCTCCATCGCCTTTGACTGCCTTCTACTAGAATACAATCTGGCCCGGGTGCCATTTTATCTCGTAATTTGTTTAAGGCTACCTCAAGTTCTCTTTTATCGAAAGGTTGCATACCTGTTATCGGCACCTCGTTCCAGAGGATCGCTCGCACTTTTGGAAACAAGCCCTCCCTCTACTGTTCTGTTTCTTCTTCTTACGAAGGCGGTAATTCAGGCAAACTTTTCTTGGCCCCCTTTCCCCCATGAGTCCGTATCCAGATCCGTCATTTTCTCGGCCATCCCATTCTTGAACCTTTGCTACCCTAATGCATTTTTTAAGATCGTCTTTTTTTTATGTACCCTCATTTCTGACAACTCAACTTTATCAAGTTTCCCCAGGCGATTTCTCTTCCTCCTCCCTCACTCTGCACTGGGTCCCCTCGCCCAGTTCATGCTGACGCTTTTCTTTGGGTTCCGTTGCATTCCCTTTGAATTTGTCTATGATTATTTTTACCTGACCTTCACGGGTCTTGTGGGTTGGCTTCAATAGCACTTTCCCCTTCCCCTCAAGTGCTTTACGCGCTTCTTTGCATAGGTCCGCGTAGGTGTTAGTAGTAGTTAGTGCTATAGTTTCGTTTTAACGTTCTTGGCTTTCTACCAGACTCCTCTTTCTCCTGCTCCTCGCCTTCTTCCATAATGGCCTCATCCCTCATTCCGCCCTTATAAGAATTCCTGATGACGTTCGCTCATTTCCTCCCTCACCTTGTCATTCTTATCGGTACCGTATAAGACAATTTCGTTGTCAAATCATCTTTCTTCTTCAGATATCTGTCCCCTCGCTGTACCATGCGGCCATTCCTGTCTAGTCACTTCCCACACCATTTCATAGCAGCTTTCAATATTGTAGACCGCAACTCCTCTCTTTTAATATCTTCTGCCTTAATTGTGCTCTTGCACCTGTTATACAACTTTACCTTTCTTCAATACTCCGTGTCATCATAGTCCCTAGGGTCAGTTTTAACTTTAAAGTTGTGCGGGCTAAGTATTTGGTTCTTAGGTGTTTAAACCTGTACGAGTTTAGGTAGGAAGTCGTAGAATTTGATAAACCCTTGGTCTTTAGGTTTACGGGTTTCGCTGGTTTTTTAAGCTTTCCGTCTTCCTTAGGGTAATTCCCTAGGGTTTTTAACAAAAGCTTCTTCGGATAATTGGATGATGTTGACGCCTCACTAGTAGCTGGAAGGTTTTCGTTACCACAGAGACCCAAGGGTTGTATGATTGCTAGTGTTCTTAGGTTCACTTAATGCTCATAGAGATGCTATAGTTGTTTGTGTGACTGAAGGTATTCATTCGCCCATGATTTTTAGAGAAAATAACAGAAGGCTCGTTAGAGTTGCATGATTACATGATAGCTAAGGTTCGTAGAGAGGTTTTAAGGATCTAGGATCCATGTAGGATTTTTAAGACTTGGTACTTTTAGGATTATTGCAGTTCTAAGAGTTTTTCTAGGGCCTGTTACTGTTGTTACATTTTAACTAAAAGTGTTACTTTTCTACGATCCTTATAAAAAAAAAGAGGATGGTAGATTTTCGCGGGTCTATAATCTTCCGTAGAGTCCTGAGCTCCTAACATCCTTTGCTCCGCAGGCTATTCAAGACAGAGGGAAACATTTTTCCACTTTTCACTTTTTTTCTACACAATTAAAAAAAATGACAACCTAACCTTAAAATAATTGAAGGTACCGGATGACCCAATAAGACTGTTCCTCGGCCATATCTAGGGAACCGTTCGTCGTATGACTTAAGGGTAAAAAAATTATTGGATAAATCGGTTATGAAGAGTCGCTGGAAAATATTTTCAAGTTCTAAAAATGACCACCAGAGGGGGTAAAAAAAAAGGCCAACGTGTTTCATTCCTCCGGCACCCCTGACTACAGGGATACCGGAGGCGGGCTGCTCAGGGCTTCCTGGCCCTCTTCAGCCAGAGAACGGGATTGTAAGGATGGGTAAATGGGAACGGAAGGAACGGAGTTAGGGTGCTGAGGGGGAGAGTACTGCTCCAGCATTTGCCTCGTAGATTTCAACATAATGCTAGCATTATGCGAAGCTACGTATGTCTGAGGATAACCCCCTGACAAAACCCCAGACAGAGCAGTCGGCAGCGGGATTCGAACCCACAACCTCCCGAATAGCATCGGTGAGCGCGACCACTGCGCCACGTGCCTCGGTCCAGAGGGGGTAACTGCCATCTTAAATTTTAAAATTGCATTTTCTTTAAATTCGCATAATAAACTAAACAAATTTTTTGCACATTTTTATAAAGAATCAGTTTATCTATCATTTTCGTAAAAACAAAAACTCACTTATTTCGAAAATAAAAATGCGTGGGGCGTTCAATTGTGTTTGCAATAACCTGTTTTAACTTCTTAACTATTTAACCGATTGTAACAAATTTGGTATCGTTGAAAAGAGCATTCCAACAAGAATCAACCAAAATATAGTTAATTTAGTTGAATCTTTCTCCGCCAGGGGGCTAGTTTTGACACTATAACCCAAAATCCTAAAAAAATTTTAAAAAATCCAATGGAATGATATGACTTATTCTTAGTAGAAAAATAACACCCAAAGAGACCCCTAACCTCAAATATTGGGAAAATGAGATTATAGTATTTTATTTAATCAGTGGGATAACGGCCTCATTAACTTACGAATGCGACAATTGCGCATACGAGGGCGTTAGCCCGAGCTATTGTAAGAGCATGAGTATGTTAATGGCCGTTAGCCCAAGTATTAAATACAACTTTTTATCTGCGACTGTTCTTCTACTGCTAAAAACGAAAAATAAATTTGATGCATTTTTTTTAAATTTCAATCGAAGTAGCATAGTTAGCAGTTTTCGACGCCATAGAAACAAGAAAATCCTAACGTCAAGAAAATTTGTACGTCAAAAATTTTGCTTCTGATTTCTTTGCGTATGTCATGAGTGAGTCTGGAACTATTCCATCAGACGTTAATATTTACAATAAATAATCTTGATAGTTGATTTTTGATCATACATTGTTTTGACAAGGGCTTATCCCACTGAGTGTGGTAATGAAGTTCTTATCCCACTGAGTGTGGTAATTAAGTTCTTATCCCACTCAAAATGACCCGGGATAAGTGAGAGTTATCCTACAGGCGCAGATAATAGTTATTTATGGTATAAGTGTGTTATATTACAAATAAGTCACGCGAGAAAAAAGTAAGCCCACGAGGCCGTCAGGCCGAGTGGGGTTATTTTCTCAAGTGACTTATTTGTAATTATAACACACGTGCACCATACAAAACTTTATCCAACACCTCCTCAAGCTGGTTTAAAACGTGGAAATCTTAAAAACTGCGTGTTCCGCGAAAAACTAGAGTGCATGGAATACAAAAGCAATAATTCGTTGCTATGGGGAATAATAAACAACAAAAAATTTAGTCAGAAAATTTTCTGAATAATGGCAGATTTGCAAGAACCCCTTTTTGTTCCTGAAGAAGTAATGAAACAGGCTGAGGCAGCATGTCTTAGTTTGCTGCCAAGAAAATCTAAAGACAATTACGACAAAGAGTTCCGCCAGTTTGAAGAATGGAGGGAACAGCAAGGTCTGAATGGAGTCAACGAAGAGGTCATGCTGGCTTATTTCCACAATTATTACAGAAGAAAATTGGCACCTTCTTCGATGTGGACGAAATATTCCATGGTAAAAAGTACTTTGAAGGTATATAAGAATGTCGACATATCAAAATATGGAAAACTGATCAGCTATCTGAAGAATGAAACAAGGACTCACAAACCTAAAAAGGCGAAGACTTTGGAAAGAGAATATGTAGAGAAGTTTTTGACACAGGCACCTGATAGTAAATACTTGATGATAAAGGTACCGATTCATAATTTCTTTATATATTAGCTTTATGTTCATGTGTTTTGTATTTTTCTAGGTTGCATTGGTAATGGGGATATCAGGTGCCTGTCGTTGTGATGAAATCACCAAACTGACAGTTGATGATATTGAAGATAAGGGAGGATACTTATATTAGTAGGGGAGCTAACACGAAATCCACTGAACGAGAATGATCAAAATTTTAACCGATGGTGTTCCATTTTGCCTTATCAGAGTATGCTAAAATCGATCGTCTGCCGCCTCAGGTCATATGACTTAAGGCGCTGCGGGTACTTCTTGCGGTACCAATTCTGAAAGGTTGTTTTTCGAGAAAATAAGTTATACACCAAATGAAAACGTTGATAATAGCTCTTAAAAAAATATTTAAAAAAATCGCGCGCATTTGATAACTCCGTAAAAAAACAATTCTTAGTCGGTTTTTCACGAAGTTTCTACGGATATAACTAGGTTACGGTTGGACGAATGAAGCTGATTTTTTTTAAAGACTGATGATAGGTACTACTAATGACTTAACGGTGTTTCGTTTTTAAATTTTTTCTCTAATTACAAGATTATCTTATTATCTTAACATTATAAGATATCTTATAATTAGAGAAAAAATTTAAAAAAGAAACACTCTCATAGTCATTGGCTGTATCTATCATTAGTCTGTAAAAAAATCAGCTTCATTCTTCCAACGGTAACCTAGTTATATCCGTAGAAAGTTCGTGAAAAACCGACTAAGAATTGTTTTTTTACGGAGTTATCAAATGTGCGCGATTTTTTTAAATATTTTTTTAAGAGCTATTATCAAAGTTTTCATTTAGTGTATAACTTATTTTCTCGAAAAACAACCTTTCAGAATTGGTAGCACAAGAAGTACCCGCAGCGCCTTAAGTCGTATGACCTGAGGCGGCAGACGATCGATTTTAGCATACTCTGATAGGGAAAAATGGAACTCCATCGGTTAAAATTTTGATCATTCTCGTTCAGTGGATTTCGTGCTAGCTCCCCTACTATATGTCTCCATACCCGACTCGAAGACAAATGTGTCACGAAGTTTTACTATCATGACAGAAGGATTCTCTATAAACATTCTGGAGCTGTACAGGAAATATGTTTCTTTGAGACCCAAGAACGTTCCACACCGCAGATTTTTCGTGAATTACCAGAAAGAGAAAAAAAAAATCCAGGCAGTTGGTATAAATACCATATCTAAGGTACCCCAGGCACGCCTTCCTTCTTGAACCTACCCGAAGCCCACTCATATACTGGACACAGCATGAGACGTGCGTCTGCAACTCTTCTGGCAAACGCAGGAGCCGATATAACAACACTGAAACGCCACGGTGGATGGAAATCGTCCACGGTGGATGGAAATCGTCCACGGTGGCCGAAGGCTATATCCAAGATTCAGTCAACAACAAAATCGATATAGCCAAAAGGATTCAAGGAGGCGCCAAAAAAAAGTCGTTGATATTCCGTTAGCCTCGACTTCCTTCTCGAATGAAATGGATTGTGTTTCTGTTGAAAATTCTTCCGACATACTTCATGATTCCAAGGCAACATCGAAGAAGAAAACGATTTCCTTTAATTTCAATATCAATGTGAATTTAAATTAGATTTTTGTGTTGATTTTGTCAGAATAATTAATAAAAGAATGTTCCTGTACTTTATCTTGCTAGTGAGTTATTTTACGTCCATAACTCATTAGTGGGTTATATTATACCTTACTCGTTTAATTTCGTCATGATAATGACTGGATAACATAGAGGTGTTGGATAAATTAATGAATTAATAAAAATGCTTAAATTGTATCTTATTTGACGAATTTCCGGTATTTGTCGAAGGCGCAAATGATTGTTTGGAAAAGGACCCTACACTTTTAGGTAGGCCTTGGAAAATTAAACAAATGAAACACGACGCATTATAAAATAATACCAGCCGTAATTTGTAAACTATTCTGCTGTGTTTACACTCAGAAACTGCAGTTTTTTGAATTTGTAATCTTTTCTAGAATGCCGATTTTTAACCAAGAAGCATTTAATATGCTGGCGGCGATAGTTCGTGGTCGATTCGGATAACGCAAATAGAAGATGTGGACAGCGATGATCGCATTTTGAAAATACTCAAAATATATCGACAGCATTTAAATGCTTCTTGGTTAGAAATTGGCATTTTAGAAAAGATTACAAATTCAAAAAACTGCACTTTCTGAATGTAAACACGACAGAATAATTATGTTATAATGCATCGTGTTTCATTTGTTTAATTTTCCAAGGCCTACCCTAAAGTGTAGGGTGCTTTTCTTTCGCGCCATCGACAAATACCGGAAATATGTATAAAGTAAATTTAAGGTGGAATTTAAGCATTTTTATTAATTAATTAATCTCATTTTCCCAATATTTGAGGTTAGGAACGAGATTTTCAAAAACGGTTTTCACTGACCTCTTTGGATGTTATGTGGCTACTTTTTCATAAAGAAAAAGTCATATCATTCCATTTGATTTTTTTGATTTTTTTAAGGTTTGGGTCATGTTGTCGAAACTAGCCCCCTGGTGGAGAAGGATTCAACTAAATTAACTATATGATGCTCATTGCCAAAGGAATGCTCTTTTCAATCATACCAAATTGTTAATCGGTCAAACGGTTAAGAAGTTAAAGCAGGTTATTGCAAAAACAATTGAACGCCCCACACCATCTTTGTTTTTGAAATAATTAAGTTTTTGTTTTTACGACAATGATAGATAAACTGGTTCTCTTTAAAAATGTGAAAAAAATTTTTTTGTTTATTATGCGAAATTTAAAGAAAATGCAATTTTAAAATTTAAGATGGCAGTTATACCCTTTGTTGGTCATATTTAGAACTTGAAGGTATTTTTCATTGATTCTTCATGACCGATTTACCCAATAATTTTTTTACCCCTAAGTCATATGACGAACGGTTCTCGAGATATGGCCGAGATGGGTCATCCGGTACTATAATGCATTCCCGTTTGTCTACAGAAAAGGTAGAAGTGTGTACGCAATACCTCTAAGCAAATTGCTTACTCCAAACTTGTACGGCTCGGCGATGAAATGCATTACGTAAGATATCGTGATGTAAGCAACTTGTACGGCACGTCAATGAAATTTAGTATCAGAATTTGAGCGTATTGAGGTATTGAAGAACCTTGGAGAGACGTGAAAAGTTGAAGCACCTTAAAATGTCATGAAAAGCACTTAAAAGCTGTCCTGAATAGTACTCAATCTACTGTTTATATATATTTTTGTATAAGCGCACTTTAGAAACCAATTGGCGCACAGCATCGTGTTGAAAAAAATCAGGCCGCAACAGTAATCGTGTAGGCGAAACACGTAACGAGAATTGCTTGTAAGGTTTGAAGTGGAAGCGAAATGGTTGTTGGGCCCAGCTGTAGTTTTCGTTATTAAAGTAATTACAAGCGAGTGACCAATTATAGTGAAGCATTTACGCGATTTCTCGCTCCGAGGTTTGCTCTTCGGTCACTAAAAGCCAATCTCCTGCGCGTCTTGCAGCAGAAATTGAATAAAGTCGGCCGTTTTTCGGACCTATAATTTCCCGTCTGGGAGGGGACACTTCTGTCGCCATTTATCTGCAATGTACGCACGCTAAGGTTTTGGGGGTTGAATAAATTGCGTCTACTGATTCCGAACTTGAATCGTAAATTATTGTTCGTGGTCAAAACCGGGTGTTACATGTATTCCGTTGCGTATCGTATTTTATTCCAACCAAAAAAAGCCGGGGAGTTTCGAAATGTAAAGCCGTAATCTCGAATTATTTTATGTGAAACACGGCTCGCGTACCTTTTTATGTGCGGAACTAAATCAATTACAACATTCCGGTACGTACTTCGGCAGGAAATAGCCCTTTGGAAAACTTGGCTTCACGTCGGTATTGTTGTCGTAAAAGTTAGGAATTGACAATTCAGTTATTGGACGTATTTAAATGCAAATGTGAGATCGCTTGAGGTCCATCTCCAGCTGGAAAACCTGAAACCTATCTTGAGGTGGATTAAACAGATCTCGCGTCTGTGAGCGGATTGTGATGACTGAGCAGACGCCACAAATTAATTAATTAATTACAAATTAAGGTTTTTATAAAGTACTGCGAAACGTTTAGACCAATTGCGCTTTCTATTAGGGAACGTAATTAACACTGTTTGACTTTCTGGTTTCTGTATTTATAATAATGCTTTGTAGCTTTAGTAAATTTGAATTTGACTGCAATTTTCACCAACATTTTGCTTATTGTTGGTTTGTTTTCATATTTAGAAACACAGATCAGCTTTATTTCTGCTACGTTTCACCCACAATGCTAATCCAAGCTCTTTTGGCATTTGGCATTTCTTGTTGTTTTAACAAATTTCGAGTTTAATTCACATTGCTGAGTAATGTAGATGCTATTGATACAACAGATACTATAATTAGCACAGCATCTAAGTAATTTTTAGAAACCGCTGTAAGAATATAATTGAATCTTATCGATTATTGTAAGGTATAATACAAATTACATCCATGATATGCTGCTCCTCGAGATTTATCAGTTATGTGATCATGATCGCTTACTTCACTCTTCTCGATATCTCTAGTTGTAGTACGTAATCGGCATGTGGTATTAATAGTCGCGGCCGGTTTGATGAAGTTTGGATCTGATCACGGTCATACTCGCGTCCGTATCCACCAACATACTCATTAGTTTTCCATTAATCAACCCATCAGTATAGATGCTCCCATCTTATCGATCCTGCTGAATTTCTAGCGATGGTCTGGGTTCCGGGGACTTTTTGCTTGCACTCTTCGAATACCCTAGTTTTCCGCAGTTCCAACACCGAGGGCGGCTCTTTCCACGTTTTTCTAGATCTTCGATCATCTTCAATGTCTCTTTGATTGTGGTCTGGATATCGGTTCTTTCCGTCGTGATGAAGACTTTTGCGTGCGATTGGTGCATTTATTGTTACGTGGATTCAATTTTTTATTGTTCACTGTCTGCTGATAGTCAGTAACCCGGATTTCAACAACGAATTGGAAATGTGTTCCGGCACACTCTAGGATGCATCGTAAGAACAAGCGTTTGCCCGATGGCGACAACCCAAACTGAATATTTAGTATCTTTATATAATCGCATATCGATCCAAA